TTACCACCGTTTTCAACCATAGAAACTCTAAATTCCCGTTAACAATAACTAACGCCTTAAAATCCATGTGTTTGACACATATTTGTAGCTTTTGCGGCTCAATAGCGTTTTTTAAGCGATATTTAAAAACGTTTGGGAACGCGCCTATTAAGTGCTATAAATTCGAATTATTTTACCCGTGGCGTTCTTTTTTAACGGCCATTTCTTAATTTTCTAAAGTTTCAGACACTCCCGCGTCACTACCCACTTTCATCTTAGCCATTTAGCTTATGATAAACTTCAGCAAGTATTACGGGAATGAGAAAACAGTTGATAAAACTCTTTTTGAGCTTAATGGCATTTACTGTTTAATGAACGACCTTCTAAATGTCGGTCATTTACCTTAGCCTCAATGAAATTGAAAACACAATCATTATGACAATGATTGCGTTACAGTTTTTTTTTCGCCTCAATGTAGATTACAATTTTCGCTGCTATTTCATTTAAAGCTTTTCAAAATAAAGATCAGGGCTGTTGTTTACCCTAATAATGTCTACATGTCATTCTCCAGCACCCCATAATTATCCTGAAGACAAAAGAAGACATGACACTTGAATACGATTTGCATTGCCTACATGTAGAGGGAATCGGGGTTACTAGTACGACTTGGAGGCCGGCGCACTGGGTGAGGGTACAATAGCGGCGCCCCTAAGCAAACCGTTAACAAATCATAGAGGTGAACAAGCAAGTAAAGTATCACAATGTATTAACTACGTAGAATGTATCGGAGCGCTCATGTGCTGTACTGTGAAGAGCAACAAACTAGTAAATAAATCGTTGTTTGATTTGTGAGCAATTTGTTGAGTTGTTAAATGACGCGGCTGTCTTTACGTTACCGAACTGTCATTTCAAAATTCATCATCTCTTCTAATCTGAGTTATCACGGATATTTGCGTTTCGCCTCGATCACCCACTATCCGATGGCCGCATATCTCATACAAACAGGGGAAAATGGCGCCTGTCTACCCTTCATAATTGGAAGCATCACTTCCTGTCTACGCAGAATAATACGTTCCGGTCACAGTCTAACATATCGTATTCCATTAAAATATCAGCCAGTAGCGTTTCCTCTTCTTGAATCTAGGTGATGGTTTGCTGCTTTGTTTCAGGTTATTGAATCAGTCAAACCCAAGGAGGTGTTACAGCTGAAGTTAGGCTACAAAGCCCATTAGAGTCTGCTTACGTGTAAAAGAGACTCCAAAAAGCATCACACACAGGTGAATTAATTTGGAAAAAAATGTTTACTATACTCTATCTTCGTAAGCTTTTATTAGCAAGCGCAATTGTTGGCGCTGCCCACCTCGGCCCCGTTTCGCAGCCGGGCGATGCATTAACCGTAATCACGTGGCCCTCGGGCGATTGGAGGCAGGAGGCCCAAGCCACTTTTGCGCGCGTCTTCATGGTCGGCATGACGAAATACTGGAAGACATTTCGTAGGGGGAATGCTTCCACGTGCTTTAGCCAGTGCCCTAACGAAGTGTTGAGGTACTGCCGAATCGACAAAATGAACTACATACGGAAAGTTCATTTATGCAAAAGATTGAAGACATGGGTAAGCAGAAAGTACGACCGGACTAATTAAGCTATTGAGGTAAAATACCATCAATCCTTGTTTTTCGGTCAGAAAAGTGGTTTGCGTTTATTTCTCATACTTAGTTTGAGGAAGCTCATAGCCAAGGCAATGAATGTTGTGTTAACTAACGCGAATCCAAATCGCAATTATCCTTGAATTGACGTCGGTTTCTTAATGTTCAAACGGGAAAGATTTAAAAATAGAGATATCACCACGAACTGCAAAGTTTTATAGTTTTAATACATTATCGCTATTGCGAAGTTGGTGGCATCAAAAGAGGTTTGCTGACATGTTGAATGCAGCGAGCACGCCTCCTCATATTTGGAGAAAAGAAATGGGCAGATTTGTTGCTGTCTAGTAAAGATGATATTACCGAGGAGTGCTAGAAAATTTATCTGAATAAAACAAATTGTTACCAAATTTGATTGACCACTAACAGTGGAAACTAAACAAACTAAACAAAACTAATGGTACAAAACCCGCTTAATTGGAGAATTCCATAATCATTTGGCTTTAAAAATAACTGATCGTCGAAAGTAAATGATTTCAACACAACTTTGTTAGATGATCAACCGAAACACGCTAATTATACACAATGGGAGGTATTGTAGAGGCTGTCTGCAACGCCAGTGGCCGTTTCCGTCTCTATGTTCTCGAGATTCTGCACTTCTCGTCTACTTCCCAAACGTTCTAAAACGTACCAAAACCCGCGCCTTCGTCCACGATCCCTAGATTGGCCAATACTATTGGCCATGGAGAGTTCAAATGTGTTAACATAAATAAATAGGCACGAATGGAACGACTGCGTATCTCCGGAAACCGCATAGCTGATGGCTATAGGTTCATCCCCTTCCCGGTGCGCCAGTCAGTTGGCAAGGCAGATATCGGCACTGAAGGCCCTCAGTATTTAAGCACAGACTAGAAGCTCAAGAGAATTTGTGTTTACATAAATAAAAACCAGTTCACAAATTATGCGTTTTCCATTGATTTTATAACAGTTATCTTGAGAAATAAAAAGGAATTCTTGTCATATTGCACGGCCATTTGTCTTGAGGAGTAAGCTGGCGGATTAGACGGAGACGCCAGGCGGCATCTTTATTAAAGCCAGGAGTTAAACAGCACAATACTGAAACATTCGTGGGGACTAGGGCGCTCGCTTACTTTACCATACGATTGAAGAGAACACAAAGTTATCATAGTAAAACTCCCTTAAAAAACCTTCAAAAATTGGCGCATTCAATAGGCAAATATCGAAATGCTAGTACTTTGTGTATTTTTTATAAATTACTGTAATTCGGGCATAATTGTAATTCGACAGTGGTTTATTCCTCAGTACTAATGAGGCGCCACTTTTGTACTTCGAATTAGCCCCCTTGTACCTCGCTGGGTGGGCTGGCCTTTTGGGCCGTGCCAATAGCCCAGACACCTTCTCTGCGTTGAATATATGTTCTGCCCGAGTATTTTGCCTCCTTTCTTCTTCAGAGAGTCTCAGGACGCTACATTGGTGGCAGCGGGAAGCGGACCCGATCTTGAAAGACATGTTTCCCGATTTTCCACTTCTGCATGATAAGCCTTAGTAGAGCAGAAGAAGTACGTATGCTACGGATGGGAGAATGGTGATGATCCCTAACAGAAGGGTTGATGCTGACGTCTACCTTCGGCATCTCTCCCAGTCCCGTGTTCTGCAGAAACGCTATTAACAACTGAAGCGACACTAGCCGTGAAACATTTGGAAGTTTCGTTGCGGATTTTCCCTAGCGTCCCTCATGGACCTGTTTTAAATCTCGTCCTCCCTTACTCAAATCTACTTTTAGGCCAATGTTCCTGGATCTATCTATGGACACGCATGATGGCCGGCGCAGTTCCCCGTCCTGAATCAAATCCCTAAACCGGACGAAACCCTAGATCCAGTCAAGCTGCCAAGAGGGATCAGTGACGTTGAGGCCAAGTATTCCCTCAGTTGCACACTAATTTGATGACTGGCACGGTCGGCTCGTGGGTGTTTCTTTACTGCATCGACTACGTTGTAATGGCTGATGCGGGAGGTTGACCTGCGGGAGCGCTGGGGACAACGCTCAAAAGAGGAGGGAGGCTATGTAATACGGTAGTGGTTTATCCCTCGGTTCTGGTGAGGCGCCACTTTTGTACTTTGAATCAGCCCCCTTGTACCTCGCTGGGTGGGCTGGCCTTTTGGGCCATGCCAATAGTCCAGACACCTTTTCCGTGCTGAATAT